GGTTAAGACTCTGCGATTCCACTGCAGGGGGCACAGGTTCAATCCCTGGTCATTGAACTAAGATCCTGTATGCTATGTGGCACGGCCAAAAAAAAAAAAATTGATGGTTGATCTCAGAAAAAGCAGAATTTAGGAAGAGGGGTGATATCACTAGGAGTGATATTATTCTATTTGGATGCAATATTCTATTTGGATGCAATAATAAAAAAGTATAGGTTGGGCTTCCCTGGTGGCGCAGTGGTTGAGAGTCCACCTGCCCTTGCAGGGGACACGGGTTTGTGCCCCGGTCCGGGAGGATCCCACATGCCGCGGAGCGGCTGGGCCCGTGAGCCATGGCCGCTGGGCCTGCGCGTCCGGAGCCTGTACTCCGCAAGGGGAGAGGCCACAACAGTGAGAGGCCCGCGTACCAAAAAAAAAAAAAAAAAAAAAAAAAGTATAGGTTGATGTAGGACAGTTGGGAATTAAACTGGGAGATTAGAAAAGCAGAGTCCAAATAAACAAGGGGGAAAAAAGACATTAACAACAATTTGACCAAGCCAGAAAAGACAAGAAAAGGTTAAAAGATGAATATCAATGACATACAATAAACTAGAAACATAAGACCAGGTATAACTTTGGCACGCTGTATGTGACAGGGTTGAATTTTCCTATCAGAAATCATAGAAAATATTCCTTTAAAGGAGAAATGGCTCATTAAAGGTTGGGGCAGAGAAGGTCCAAGATTTTTTAAAAATCATAGAAAATATGATTATGTTTAAACACAAAATCAAATAGTATCTTGATTCTAGGAGATGCATACAAAGTAGCCCCAGAAAGGGGCTGAAAATCATCTATGAAAAAACTGGGAGTGACATCTAAAATATTAAAACATTTTAAATGCTTAGCAGACCATGCAAAAAAAAATTAAGGAATATTCTCAAGGCCAAAAATTGTGTTGATGTGAATGAAGAACAGCTAGTGGGCTCTAAGGCCAGTGGCTGCCCTGAGGGTATTTGCATATGCTTGTCACCTAGAACTTGCCATTTTAAGAGCTGTACCCTGGACAGAAGGAGGGGCTGTTCAAGGTGAAGAGTCAAAACAGAGACACCCCCATGTAACATCAGAACACATGAGGTCTGTACCTCAATGAGAGAAGGAAAACGGCCATCCCTCAGAAGGAAACAGTGGGGAAACCTTCAGTCTTGACCTCGACTCCAAAAGAGTAGGGAAAGAGTACACTTTGTGAAAATGTGTCAGCACAAGCCTGCCCGCGTGGGATTGGAGTTCAAAATCACAGTACTTTCAGGTCTGCGAAATGTCAGCCAAGAAGTTGATTTAAAGGGGTAGCAAATTTGTAAGATATCTCATGCCCTCTGCTGAACCAGTTCTTTCTGGAAAAAAAAAAAAATGTACTCTAAACACAGGTCTTGAAAATCTAGAGGAAATTAATGATTTCCTGGCAAAGTACAAACTACCAAGTTGATGGACGAGGTAAGAAAGCTGATCAGAAGAACATTGGAAAGCTTTGATCTACCATTACAAAAAAGATTGGGCCCATGTGGTTTTTCTGCTGGATTTTTATCTACTTTCAAAGATGAGATAACTCTTATTTTATTTAAGAAATTACAGATTGTACAAAACATGGGAAACTCCATAATAAGTTTGATAAGGCTACCATAGGCTTAACCCAAACCTTATAATTATAGTATAAGTAAAATTACAGACCAATTGTATTTATGACAGTAGCTGCAAAAATTATAAACAAAATATTATCCAATAAAATCAGCATAAGCATCTAGGGTTTATTCTAGGAATATACAAATCAAGGACTCCTGTGATATATTTCATTGCCTCAATGAATTAAAGGCTAAAGCCCTCTAAGTAAAATAAAGAAAGTCCTTAAACATGGTAGAAATTATTACCCTAAGCTCACTGCAACCATTATATATGAATACTGAGAAACTTTCATTGAAAATAAGGAGCATATTATGGACTCCTGTTATTACCACCACATTACTTAGTATATATTACTATTTGGCTATACCATTATAGCTAATGAATTAATACAATTAACTCCAAAATAAATCTTGAAAAACATCATATCTTCATTGGCACATGAAATATATATATATATATATATGTGTGTGTGTGTTTATAAAGCCCAAGAGATTTTAAAAATTTTAGAATTAATAGAAGAATTTAGTAAGGCAAGTTGAGAAAAATCAATATAAATAAATCAGTAGCTTTTCTTTCCACTGGAAATAACTGGGTAGAAATGGTAAAAAAAAAAAGGTAAAAAATATTCATTTTCATTAGTGACTGGAATATTAAATGAATAGAAATAAATTTCAAAATCAAACAATAATATATCTTTATGAGGAAAATTTTATTAAAGAATATGGGCCAAATAGAAAAACAGTGTGTGTTTCTAGATATGAAGACTAGTTATTAATCCTTCTAAGGCTTTATATGTACAAGGTAAAGAAAAAAGTTATAAAGATGGACACATGTGACCATATAAAAATTAAAGTGCTTATAGAACTAATTCCACTAGAGTTAAAAATCTAACTATTGACTAGGGAAAAAATATTTCAGTTTATATAGCAGACAAAGATGAATGTCCTTAATATCAACAACTCCAAAAACTGATAAGAAAGGAAAAACACCACCATAGAAAATTGGCAAGGTTGTGAACAGAAAATTGTTTTAAAAAAATAATCTAGTCATCAATACACATCTGGACAGCTAAGCAAAAGTTTTATTAAGTTTGATTACATCAGGTGATGGTACAGATTTAGGACAAGAAACACTTTCCTACCTTGCTGAAAGGCAAATTACAACGTAACATTTTGAAAGTAATCTCTTAATGCTTCCTAAAATTTAAAGTGGGCAAACATGTCCTTTGCCCCAGAGGTGCCAGGTTTGAGATTCTAGTTATAGATAGGAAAGCCCAATAAAAACTGATATTGCATAAGGATGGTCAGTACAGTCTGTTTTTGAAGTAGCAAAATGCTTAACCATTTTTCCTGATGATTCCTTATCCAAGAAGTACCGCCCTTTAACGAATCAGTAGAGAAAATGTTAATTAAGTAAACATTGAATACCATGCAAAATTATGCAGCTGATAAAAAGAATAAGTAGAACTTATATCTCTTAACCTGAAGGCACGTTCATGATTGTTAGTGAGAAGCTGAAGAATGACATAAAATGTAAGCCCATTGTGTGATTATGTATGTTTGGATGAGGAGGGAATATAAAACATGGTTATCATGAATCACCTGGGAAAGGTGGGCAGGAATTTTATTAATACTTTGTGTATTTAGTATTATTTCACAGTTAAAATGTATTACTCTGTTACACTTTTTTAAATTGAAGTATAGTTAATTTACAGTGTGTTAGTCTCAGGTGTACAGCAAAGTGATTCAGTCAAATATATATGTGTGTGTGTGTATATATGTGTATTCTTTTTCAGATTCTTTTCCATTATAGGCTATTACAAGATTTTGAGCTGAGTTCCCTGTGCTATAGAGTAGGTCCTTGTTGTTTAACTATTTTATATATAGTGGTGTATATATGTTACTCCCAAACTCTTAATTTATCTGTCCCACCCTCACTATCCCCTTTGGTAACCACAAGTTTCTTCTCTGTGTCTATTACATTTTTTAAAAGGGACGTGTCAATTTAAATTAAGAGGCAAGGTGGGTCTAGAGAAGTAATGTTAATTTCCTCCTCACACCTAAATTAACCGTCTGCAGTCCCTTTAATGTTCCAGTCCTAAAAATGTTATTATTAAAACTCTACTTTCCTCACATTTTCCAAATGTGTGTGGAAGAAAATCCCTTCCATGTTGGCCTAGAGAAAGAGAAGCAAGCTATCCTTTATTCCTATCTTCCAACAAATCATTTGGTATCTTCTGACAGGGGTGTGTTATGACTAGTTGTGCTTTTTTATTAGAAGTTAATCTTATGTCACTGACATGTACACACAACTGTATATAAAATAGATAACTAGTAAGGACCTACTGTATAGCACAGGGAACTCTACTCAGTACTCTGTAATAACTTATATGGGAAAAGAATCTAAAAAAGCTTGGATGTATGTATAACTGATTCACTTTGCTGTACACCTGAAACTGACACAACATTGTAAATCAACTATCCAATAAAAAATTTAAAAAGTTAATATTATATTGCCATTTTAATTCCAGTTGTAAACTTCTTTATAAAATGAGTGCTCTTATTCATAGGACAAGTAAATGAAAAATAATATGCTATGTTTTTAATATTGTTATTTGCAATAGCAAATTCCTAGAATTAATGTGATAGATTAAGAGATCAAACGAATCTATTAACACAGTAATGTCGATTGTTAATTTATAAAATTAATAATGTAGACATATTAACATATTAATTTATGTGTGCATATGCACACACACATAAACTCGTTGTTATATTGGGTTGGCCAAAAAGTTCGTTTGGGTTTTTCCCTAAGATGTGATGGAAAAACCCAAACGAACTTTTTGGCCAACCCAATAAAATCCAAAATTCTCTGCTGTTTATGTGGCCCAAGATATAAATGATATATAAACTTTTAAATTGTAGTTTAATTATACTTAGTAATATGTAAGTGTAATTATACTATATCCTGTGCATTGTAGAAACTTCTTTTAGAAAATACAAATTATAGAAAAATGCAGCCTTTCTGTATATAGTACTGTAATTCTATAAATGGCGATGACTTTTAATTAATATCAAATGATGAATAATGAGGAAATAATACCACTCACAAACATTTAACATTTTAACATATTTTTCTCTGATTGCTTAAGATATATTTGGTCTGTGAGGTTCTAGTTGGTGTGTTTCAAAACCGTATTTTTAACAATGTTCTAGATTTTTATATGATATGGCTCCTCATTTTATATGATAGTGGCTAAAATTCATGCACTAACAACCATATGAAATATTTTGAAATAAATTATAGTTTTAGATTACAATTTCACTGTCCCTTTGTTCCTCTAGGTGGCTTTTACGGTACTTTTTGATTTGGAAGCACTTCTGAAGATATGGTGTTTGGGATTTACTGGATATATTAGCTCATCTCTCCACAAATTCGAGCTGCTGCTCGTAATTGGAACCACTCTTCATGTATATCCAGATCTTTATCATTCTCAATTCACATACTTTCAGGTAATACGAATAATGCCTATTTATCTTTAGAATTTTTTTCTTTCCAGGGAAAATACCAACAACTGTAGTAAATACAAACTTCAAATAGGCCCTATGACATTTTAAATACCAAAAATAGTGCATTCATTTCATTGTTTTAAAACCTCTGAAAATTCAGAGTAATAAATGGAGATGCTTTACATACAGTTCATAAATCAGCACAGTGTGTAGAGGTACATATTTTATATGTACATGGATATTATGCATCTGTGCATACATGTAAAATTTTAAACTACATCAGATGTTGACACACACTTTAAAGAGCAGGAAATATGAATTTAATTCCAAGTGTAGTTCTCCCTTCTCAGTAAGTCTAAATATGTTTGCTCAACACTAACTTACAGTTGAAATAATAAGAAATAAAACTTACCTTTACAGATTGTAATTAGTCATACTTCATTATTTATGAATTCCTATTATTTTCTTTGTGATGATTAAATAACAATACCTATAATTTTTTACTTTGTTTATAATAACTGGATATCTGTTTTTTCAAATGTGATATATTCAATCACATTACTTTATAATTATTCAGTAAACAAAACTATTACTTATGTTCTTTGTAATTGTTGAATAATAGCAATATGCTGAGTGTTCTTTTTAACTCCTTGGTCAAAATATAATATATATATATGGGATAACTTAATTTTTAAAATCTCAAGTATAGTCATTTTCTGACTCAAAATTAGTCATTTGTATAACTTATCATATAAATATCAGAAGTTGCATTGTTTTCTTCATAGGTATTTTAAAATAGTTGGAGAATAAAATGGCAGTAGAATTTTTAAAGAAACAATTCAGAGAAACAAGATTCTAACTCCTTAGATGAAAGAAAATACATTCCAACTTCACTGAACTTACTTATTGATGATACCAAAGCCATCATTTTCAGAGCAGTATTAACTTCAGGTGCCCAATCGTGACCTGAAACTCAGCACTCCTGATACCTGGGAGAAAGGACATGAAAATACAATTCGCAAAAATGAAAAACATACCCCACAAACACACATGAAAAGCTGAGCCTCTTGTAATCACAGCCAAGCACCCAGTGAACTCACAGAGGGTATCATGGTTCAAGCTTTCAGTACTGTCAACATCTTTGAACAGAAATCCCTTGCCACTGGTTGGGTTATATCCTCAGCCTTGGTTATCATAGGTGAGATGCCTGGGGCAAGAGACATACACATGTTTGAAACTCTTGATACAAAATATGCTTTCCAAACATTTGTGTCATTATATGCTCTTGGGCACTGTTGTCTAGATTCACAAAATCAACATGAGCATTTAGTACCTACACTAGAGAATCATTGTACATAATTACAGAAAATATGCCTCATAGTCAAAACTACAACATATCTTTTTTCCAAACCTATTAAATTAAGAAAGACATCAAAGCCTATTACAGCAAGGGTACCAATATAAAATATATTCAGGGCTTTAAAATTCTTATCATTTCTCATAGATAATTTTTCAGTGAAAAGTTACAAATAGGTCAGAATTTTGCACACAAAGATATTCATTCTAGAATTGTTTATGAGAGAAAGAAATGGGAACTGTTTAAGTGGTAAGCATATGAGGAATAGCTTAGTAACTCATATGCAAATTTGGCCATAAAAATAATTATGATGAATTTGTAGTAACTTAGAGATATGATTGTTCTATTTAAATGCAAAACAGTATAAAAATATATAACATGTATAGCTACATATCCATGCTATATATAACATATATAGCTCTATATATGTATGTAAAATACCTATAAATGAAAAAATGACCGGAAAGAAATAAACCAAATTATTACAAATGATTAAAAGTCACCACCTCTGGGTTGTTTTTCTTTTCGGCTGCGTGGCTTATGGGGTTTTTAGTTCCCCAACCAGGGATCGAACTGGGACCCTCAGCAGTGAGAGCACGTAGTCCTAACCACTAGGTTTTTTCTTCTACTCTGTTTTTCACAAAATATCTAAAATCAGTGTGCATGGCTCCAATCGTTTTATATATAGACATATAGCTATAGATAAGTCACAATACAGGGTCAGTGAAGTTTGCAGTTTTAATGTCTGTAAAACTTGTAATAGTTTATGTTAATAGTAGAGTGATTTTCATTTGTATCTCTCTATACATGGCCAAGTTTATATTTGTCTAATGAGATAAACACTGTCTCAGTTATTTTGTGCCTAAAAGCTAAATCTCTCAAGAAACTTAGATGTCACAAGGATTTTTGCAAATTCACATCTGGAGAACCCACTGTACTGAACAGATTGGCTCTTTATGGGCTGACTTTGATCTCCCCTGTTGGTCCTCATGCTTGCTTCTCATCTCACTTGACCTTTCTTCATCATGCTGGCAGCAGTTCTTCCCGTAGTGAATGTCACATTTTTTATATCTAAATGAAGCCAACAATTTAGTACAAAATGTCTCCCTTTATATCTGTTATCTCTGAGAGTTGGGTGTTATCTATCTCTTTATTCAGATGAGATTTCCTGAGCACCTACTATGTGCCAGGCACTGTTCCAGATCCTGAGGGCAGAGAAGTGAACAAGGCAGAGAAGATGCCCACCTCGGGAACCTTGCATTCTAGAGGGCAAACAGTTTATACACAAGTACACACAAGTACACAAGTACGAGTGCACGAAAGGAATGCGAGTACAGGAAATGCCGTCCAGGAGAAACAAGCTGAGTGAAAAGGATAGAAGTTGTGGGGTGAGGGTGCTATTTTAGATAAGTTTGTTCAGGGAAGCTCTCTTTGAAGAGGAGACATTTGGGCAGAGAAGGAGCGAACCTTGAGAAGGTCTGGGTGGATGCATTCCAGGTAGAGAGAACTACATGGCACCTGTCCTAAGGAGAACACATGCTTGATGGAGTGAACATAGGGCATATTACAGGGAGTAATAAAGTCTTCACAAAATGCTCTGGTTCTGACATAGCAGGGTGATGACACCGGCTGGTATTTATTGTGCACCTACTGTGTGCCAGGCACTCTGCCGAGTGCATGGCTTCATTTGTTTCTCGTTAGAGAATAAACTGTTTTGATGGAGTGTAAACTGCGATCCCTAGAGACTGAATAACTCGCCCAAGACCACATAACTAGCAAATGGTGGAAACTCATTCCCAAGAAGTTTAATCTTATATTCATATTCTTAACCACTCAATTGCTACAGTATCTCACTATTAATCAGCAGCGTGACCTTTAACAACAGACTTAGAAATGTGACCAGGAAAATGTGCTTTGGAAGCAACCACAAAATGTCCTACAGTGCTTATCTTTGAATGTATGGTTTACTTTATTTCGTATCTGTAGGAACACAGAATCAAAAGGCTTTATTGGGTAGACAGAGTGAAAAGCATACTTATCCCCAAATAAATGAAAACGCATAATTAGAGTTACCGATAAGGATTTTGCCTTTCCACAGATGCAGGCCTGCCCCTTTGAAAATGCTTATCAAATCACCAATGTGGGAATTGTGTTAAGTTATGTTTCTTCCAGCTAATGAAATATTAATTTATCAAAATTGCACAGATGTGCATAGACTGTTTTTATTAGAATTTGGGGCAGGATTGAAGATTACTTAGGCAATCTTTTAAATATGATTTTAATGCAAGTGGAGGAAACACAAGGTACTGAAATTTGAGCAATAAACCAGTTGGATTGTTCCTGTAAACTTTCCTGGACTCAGCTGTTTAACTGTTAGAAACTGAATCATTTATGTCTAAGAATAAATATAAGTGTAAAATCTTTTCATATTATTATTCTGGATGTTACTATTTTAATAGTTCTTATGATAAAGCTGTTTGCTTGTTATTTGGGAAGATGACCCAAGTGTAATATGTTCTGATTTGGAAATGTATGTTAAGAATTATAGCGGGAAAAACTAGTAGCTTAACCATGCCTGTGGTATAATGTTTAATTTGAACAATATAATTTCTCACATAAATTTTCTTCTTAAAGTATTAAGTATTTTAAATGAGCATGAAGGAAATCTACATTTTCTCAACTTCTTTAAACATTTGTTCATTAGTTTACTAGACCTGCAGCTACAACCCATACTATTGATACTTGTGTTCTGCAGACAATAAGAATACGGTTCACCATTAGTAGTTCCTGTTAATTCAGAGTCTGGGGGTAGCGGGTAAATGTGGCTTCAGGGATGGCCAGATTCAGAGGCTAACATGGTATTATTGGGACCCCGTCCATTTCTCCACTCACCTTTCTTCTGTGTTGGTATCATTTCTAAGCTCTCTTTGTCCATGTGGTGGCTAAGATGGCTCCCAGAAGCTCAGGGCTTATGTGGCTCTTACAGTAATTCCAGTTGAGGCTAAAAAATAGGACACCTCTCATAGGTCCCACAGAAGTTCTGATGACTGAGGTCATTGTGAATACCCTGGCCAGGCCTGGATCATGGGGGTCAGGAAGTCCCTTCTGGACCTCATAGACTAAGAGGATTAGGAAGCTAGGGTTGCTGGAAAAATCCAAACGCATGTTATTTTGTGTAAAAATTTAAATCTAGGGGGTTTTTTTGTTTGTTTTTTTTTTTTGCGGTACGCAGGCCTCTCACTGTTGTGGCCTCTCCCGTTGCGGAGCACAGGCTCCGGACGCGCAGGCTCAGCGGCCATGGCTCACGGGCCTAGCTGCTCCGCG